TGCAAATAAATGATGATGTACAGAAATCAGACGAAAATATCAGGTATGTGTGGACTGAAGAGGAGACTATTTCATTGAAATAGTACATGAAACAAACATAAATGCCATATTAGATGGGAAACACTCCGTCACCAAGTTTTCGTTTTGTTCGTTTTGAGGTTTGATTGGCGCTCTTTTAAATCTGTCATCACGTTGCGCCCTCTTTTTCTGCAGTGGTATAATGGCACCTGACTGGAGAATTAGCGCCACCTACTGCTTATCTCGATGAACCAACTCCTAATATTTGCATAACAGTAGTGGATAGAAACTGGATCAGGTGAGTCCTGAACCATCCCTTAGTTATGCTGCTATAGGCCTACACTATCGGGGGATCTCCCATGGTGCACTGAGCTCCTCTCTCCCTCTCTCTCTCTTTCTGCACATATTCATGTCCCATTAATGCATGTTACTAACACTTCTTCCCCGGAGTTCCTGTGTTTTCTCATCTCGCAGGTTCTCATGGATCCTGGTGGAGCCTCCTGCCATGGTCCTGCTTGAATGCCATTGCTAATATCCGTGATATTATTGTCGTTATTATTAGTAGTTATTGCTGCTGTTGTCATCATCTTCTTCATGTTCATTAGTGTATTGATGTAGTTGTTGTGTCTCTCTCTCTCTCTCTCTCTCTCACCCCAACTGGTCAAGGCAGATGACCACCCACCTAGAGCCGAAGGGTCTGTCTTGTATCTCAGGGCAATTTGAAAAGTGCCCTGAGATAACTTCTGTTATGAATTGGCACTATACAAATAAAATTGAATTGAATTGAATTAGAGAGGTCAATACCAAATCTGGACGGGAGTGGGGGTGGATCATAGCTAATGTTAGCCAAAGCTACCCAGCCTCGGCCTGCTATTTGCTCACTGTTTGGCGGCTAACGTTTCTGGTGTTTACATGTTAGCACTCATGCGAACTATGGACTAACGTGACTGTGGACATACAACTTGCGGGTGAGTGTGATCTAACTTAACCAGTTAACTGTGCTAATCTGTTAGTGGCTGGTTTCTCCGGACCTGGCATGGCCCGCCTCAACCTACTCAATGTTCTTCTCCTTGTGTTCCTTCTTACTACCTTGCCCTTCTCATCTGTTGAGCATATGGGGGAGTCGACATTCTTCAAACCCCCTCATTTGCCTAACCATCAAACTGACTTAGTCAACATCTATAATAGCGACTTGGTTTCCCTGCTGTGTACAATGTCTCTGGGGCTACCATCAATTGCAAACTTTACCATTCCTCCTTTGTCTTCATGCTATGTTATGAGTCTATTTAGCAATATGATATTATGTTACCATCTAATCTCCCTACATCTGTCAAACGTAAACACAATGACTCATCTTCTTCTCTTTGCCGTTCTCTGATTGTGTTACTACTCATAATCTCTGGTAATGTTCATGTCAACCCCGGCCCTCCTGATATTGCTCCCCTCTTCAATGGTCTTCAGTCATATGATCTCTGCTTCCATGATTTTTGTGAAAGAAACAACAAGGGTTTCTGCATGTAAATGTAAGAAGCTTGGTGCCAAAAATGGACCAACTTAAAGTCTGGGTGGAATCCTCCAATCCCCATGTCCTTGTCCTGACTGAGACGTGGCTCCGTAAATCTGTCTCCTATCCTGATACCAACATTACTGGCTATAATCTATTCCGCCAAGACAGATCATCTAAGGGTGGAGGAGTAGCAATCTACTCAAAAGAACACCTACACTGTTCCGTGGTATTTGCCAAATCTATCCCCAAACAGTTTGATCTCTTGGTCATTCAGATCAGGATATCAAACAATTTCTCCATTACTGTGGCCGGCTGTTATTGCCCTCCCTCAGCCCCTGCATGTACTCTTGAGGCCCTTAGTAGAGCACTGGCACCTTTCACTAGGTCTGAACTTGTCCTGCTTGGTGATCTCAATTGGGACATGCTTAGGCCTCCCGAGAAAGTCACACAGCAGTTAGACTCCCTTAATCTCCACCAAATCATCACCCACCCAACCAGGCTCAACTCCAACTGTCCGGATAAGGCTACCTTGCTAGATGTAATTATTACTAACACTCCCCACATGTATCAATCTGGTGTGTTCTGCAGCGACCTCAGTGACCACTGTTTTATCGCATGCATTCGCAAAAACATCTCCTCCAAACAGCCTATTACCATCAGCAATAAGCGATCGCTAAAGCACTTTAACACCCAAGCTTTCCTCCATGACCTGTCCAACATTAACTGGCACAGAGTCAGGCTGGTTCCCTCTGTGAATGATGCGTGGTCTCTGTTCAAAGATCAGTTTAGTGCTCCCCTCAAGAAACAATGGTTAAAAAATCGTCACAGCCACTGGTTCACACAAGAGCTCACATCTCTTCTCAAACATAAGAATGCTGCATGGAGAAAAGCCTGTCAATCAAAATCTCCCACAGACTACCTTAAATTCCGGCAGCTCCGTAATAAGGCTACACAAGCCGTACGCCATTTCACTCAAAGTGAATGATCTTGTCATCTCAGATAAGACTGCAATGGCAGATTCTTTCAACAGCCATTTCATAAAATATGGCTTTGTCTTTGAGAATACACTGTCCAAAGGCCCTACTACACCACCACTCACAGCCCATAGTCCTCCCTGTCCCCCCAACCTCCACCCTCCCACACACAGTTTCTCCCTCCGGCCTCTTACAGAGGGGGAGGTTTTAAAGGAACTGTCTGCCCTTGACCCCAAAAAATCAGCTGGGTCTGATGACCTTCCCGCATTTTTTATTAAAACTGCAGCTCCCATCATTGCAGCACCCATAACTGAACTCTTCAACCTCTCACTCCATATGGCTGAAATACCTTCAGCCTGGAAAGAAGCCATTGTCCTCCCCCTGTTTAAGGGTGGTGAGCAGTCAGACCCAAATAACTACAGACCTATTTCCATCCTGCCTTGTGTGTCCAAGGTATTTGAGAAGCTTGTGAACAATCAGCTCACATTTTATCTTAATACTTTTGGTATACTTTCTGGCGTACAGTCTTTCTGGCGTACTGGTGGTTTCCGTGCTGGGTATGGATGCACAACAGCCACTTTAAAGGTGTTAAATTACATTACCTCCACTTTAGACACCAAACAACACTGTGCTGCTATTTTCATCGACCTTGCCAAAGCCTTTGATAGCGTTGACCATTCCATCCTCATCAGCAGGCTGAGCAGTATTGGGGTCACAGGTCACTCACTGGCTTGGTTCTCTCACTATCTCTCTCACCGGGTGCAACGCGTACGGTTTGATAATTCACTCTCTCACCCCCTCCTTGTCACCAAGGGAGTCCCTCAAGGCTCTATACTTGGCCCTTCACTATTCTCCATCTACATCAATAACATTCCCCTAGCTGCTGGCATTTCACTCATTCACCTTTATGCCGATGACACAATCCTATACGCCTCTGGTCCATCTCCCTCCTCTGTCCAATCCACGCTCCAGGATAGCTTTCTCCAGGTACAATATGCCTTCTCACAACTGAAACTGTCACTCAATACATCTAAGACAAAAGCCATGTGGTTTCAGCGGAAGGGTGTTCCCTCTCCGTCTCCATTAAACATCTCCACTTGTGAGGGGGCAATCCTGGAGCAAGTCTCCATTTACAAATACTTGGGCATCTGGTTAGACACTACTCTATGCTTTTCACATCACATCTCCCGGTTACAGTCTAAGGTGCGGGCCAAACTCGGTTTCCTTTATCGCCATCACCACGCCTTCACTCCCTCTTCTAAACTCACGCTTATCAAAATGACTAATCTCCCCACACTTGATTTCGGTGATACTATCTATAGAACTGCATGTAAGGGCACTCTCGCCAAACTGGACACACTCTATCACTCTGCTATCCGTTTTGCTACAAATGCCCCCCTCAACACCCACCACTGCAGTCTTTACTCTATGGTAAATTGGCCATCACTTCACTCTCGTCGTTATTTTCACTGGCTCACTCTCATCTACAAAACCCTCCTTAAACGGTCACCGCCCTACCTGTCCCGCCTGCTGCATCGACTACCCATCACATATAACACCCGGTCCTCTCTCCACATCCTGCTAACAACCCCTAAAACCAGATCCATACTCGGTCTTGCATCATTCCAGTCAGCTGCTGCCGTTGACTGGAATGCACTACAAAAACACCTCAAACTGGTCAAATTAATTTCCATCTCAGCCTTCAAAGACACCATCTCACACCTTCTCACAGATTCCTGCAACTGCTTCCCCTCCATCTAACCCTCCTCTCAATCAAATGTTTTCTTTTATGTTTTTATGTTTTCATAATTGTTATTTTGCTAAAAGTTTATTCTTGCTATTCTGTGCTGTTTATGTAATCCTGTTCTTTGCTCGTGTCTGTATGTCTGAGTAGCTTTATGTTAACCCTGCGGGTCCCTGTTGCTGTCTTGTATGTCTGTACAGCTGTGTTTGTGTGCTGTTGCTTCTCTAACCTATCCTTTCTCACTGCCCCTTTCCCCTTCTCTTCCAAGAAGCGTGTGCTTCTTGTCAGGCCATCACTGTAAATAAGAACTTGTTCTTAATGATCTGCCTGGTTAAATAAAGGTAAAATAAAATAAATAGCAAGATTATTTAATTTGCATAGTGATGTGATTATACAGGGATCAACAACCGGCCTAGAAATTAAAATATAATTTATAGTTCTCTAGTATTCGCCAATTATGTATTTTTGTATGTCATTATTATCAGTTTTTTACACGTTTTACACAGACTGACATGGTCTGCACCAACCCCGCCTCACTACCCTCATGTGGTCACATCTGCCCTGTGACGGTTAGGAGAATCTGGACTGAATTCTGCCGCGGTAAGGCAAAAACAACATTATATAAAAAAATATAGTTATACATTTTACAATTATGTTACAGTTTTCTCTTAACATTTACTCCACTCATCGCGGAAAACTGCGGCCGTGTCAATGAATAAATCGGCCTCTTCAATCTAAAATCCAGCTAGCTAACTTAACTATTGTTAGATGACTGGATTAAGGCTCCAGTCTCTTCAGAGGCGTGGTTTCAAATCCCACCACTACCAGGCAATCTCATACCTTTAAGCACCATCTTGAAGGGCAACACAGCAAGTCAGTTTAAAGATTGATGACAACTACAACTGTTGACAGACACATGCAGGTTTTAAGAACTGGAATACTTATAACCTAGCCTAGAACTCTAGACACCCCCTAGCGGCAGCAAATTTATTTGGCAGCTAGTGTAGGTCTAGCACAGCTCCGTCTGCTTTTTGGTGCTGGAAACACAAAGTGTGTCTTGTATGTCTGACCAATCACAGCGCGAGGGGCGGAGTCGAAAGCCGGGCTACCATGACGACAGAGTTGCAACGGTTCCGTGTTAGAGGTAAACAATGGCTGCTGCTGCTGGCGAACGGTTGTCTTTCGAGTCGGCTTTGGCCGCGACTCTTCAAGACTTGAAGTTAACATTTTATTTGAGAAAAGAGCAAAGAACGGCACTGAAGTCTTTCCTCGAAAATAAATATGTATTCTGAGTTTTGATTAATTACGTAGTCAGAGCCGTCGCTCTGACTACGTCACCTTCTTCGTTGCTCTGATTGGTTGTAGCGCTATCCTATTGCGTGCAGAGGGAACTTGAAAGACAACCGTTTATCCCGCCCACACTGCCAATGGAGCTGCGCCAGACCTTACATCTTTCTGATGTAGGTCTGGCTTGCCAGGCTACTTATAACCCTCAGAGCATTCCAAAATCAGACAGCTGTAATCTAAATGGTGTCCTTTTGATGGCAGCTGTATAGTACATACATCAGGCTCATGTGGGATTTTAACCCTGGACCTCTCGCACCCTAAGCAAGAATCACACCCCTAGACCAAGGAGCCACATTTAAATCAGGCATTTCAGATGGTGCCAATGATCAAGAATAGCGCAACCCCTTAAACAGCCTTTTATATTCCCAAGATTGCCACGATGTTCACATGTTCTTTATTCATTTGGACCTCATTAAAGGCTGATTTTGTCTTAAAAGAATGACTTCTTTTGTGGTAGTGTGACCGAGCAGTCCAAGGCGCTGTATTAAGGCTCCAGTCTTTTCAGAGGCGTGGGTTCAAATCCCACCACTGCCAGGCAATCTCATACCTTTAAGCACCATCTTGAAGGGCAAGTCAGTTTGAAGCTTGATGACAAACACAGCCATATACAGGTTTTAAGAACTTGAATACATAACACCAACAGAGCATTACAGGAAGAGCCAGTTATATTCAGAATGGTGACTTTTGATTGAAACTGTATAGTAAGTAGCAGGCTCACACTCTCACAACCCAGCAACTCTCACACTCTAAGTGAGAATCATACTCCTAGACCAACAAGCCACACTTAATTCAGGCATTTCAGATGGTGCCAATGATCAAGAATAGCGCAACCCCTTAAACAGCCTTTTATATTCCCAAGATTGCCAAAGCTGGGGAACAATCGGCCATCAAAGAAGGGGGAGAAGGGGGGAGAAGAAAAGAGAGAGGAAAATGGGGAAAAAGGGGAAAAAATGAGAAAGAAAAGAAAAATGTGGCTATTGTGTATCCATATCTATTTGATGAATGTATTTCTAGCTGCCTGAACGCAAATAGGACACTTTTAATTTTTTCAAATGCTTTGGACACACCGCGGGCGGGATTCGAACCGGGGACTCAACTCAACTCAAAATGTATTTATAAAGCACATTTAAAAACAACCGGGGTTGACCAAAGTGCTGTACAGGTTAATAGCATACACGTAGTACATATAATGCCATATTTACAAGAAAAATAATGCTAAGCTACTGAAACTTGGTTAAAAGCCAGGGAGAAAGTGTGTTTTTAGAGAGGATTTAAAAACCTTGAATGATCCGGCAGATCTGATGTGCCAGGGCAAGTTATTCCAGAGCCTAGCGGCCGCCGCCACAAAGGCTCAGTCACCTTTGGTTTTTAATTTGGTTTTAGGGGTGACCAGTAGCAGCTGATTAGAGGATCTCAGTGTTCTGGCGGGGGTGTGGAGATGAAGGAGCTTGGTCAGATACTGGGGGGCTAGGCCATTACGAGCTTTAAAAACAAACAGTACAATTTTAAAATCTATTCTAAAAGCAACCGGGAGCCAGTGCAGCGACGCCAGGACCGGGGATATGTGGTCACGCTTGCGTTTGCCGGTGAGGAGACGGGCAGCTGCATTTTGAACCAGCTGCAGGTGGTGCAAGAGTGAGCGGTCCAGGCCAAAATAAAGAGAGTTGCAGTAATCCAATCTAGTATTAATAAAAGCATGGATTACAGTCTCCAGATCTCTACGTGGTAGATATCCTTTAACTTTTGATAAAATTCTTAAATGGTAAAAACTTTTTTTCACGACCGAGCTAACCTGGCAATCAAATTTCAGCCTGTCATCAAATATTACCCCCAGATTTTTCACAGAAGACGAATGTTTGGTGTAAGGGGGCCCAGAAAGTCAGCAGGAAAGTCTGCTCGTTCACATCCAAACATTATAATTTCAGTCTTGTTTTCATTTAGATTTAAAAAGTTTAAGGTCATCCAGGATTTAACGTCGTTTCGGCAATCAAGCAATGTCTGTACTGAATCTTTAGATTTAGATGTCAAAGGCAAGTAGATTTGAACATCATTGGCATAAAAATGAAACAAAAGATTATACTTCTTGAAAATTGACCCTAATGGTAGTATATATAGCAGAAAGAGAATAGGCCCGAGGATGGAACCTTGGGGGACTCCAGAAGTAAGAGGGGCTGCGGATGAGGTGAATTCACCTAGCTACACAGAAAAACTCCGATCAGTCAGGTAAGACTGGAACCATGAGAGAGCAAGGCCTGTGATGCCCACCCACTGCTCCAGTCGTGCTAGGAGAATCCCATGATCCACAGTGTCAAAAGCAGCTGTCAAATCAAGGAGCACTAGCATAGCAGGGTTACCTGAGTCAGCGGTTACCATTAGATCATTAAAAACTCTCAGCAGTGCTGTCTCAGTGCTATGTAATGGTTTAAAGCCAGACTGAAACTTCTCATAGATATCATTGGCCACTAGGAATGTTTGGATCTGAATAAAAACCACTTTCTCTAAAATGTTGGATAGAAATGGCAGTTTAGAGATAGGCCTGAAGTTAGACAGCACAGAGGGATCCAGATTTTTCTTTTTGATTAGAGGCTGCACAACAGCATGCTTGAGAGCAGCTGGAACACATCCGGTGCTAAGACAAGAGTTAATAAATAAAAGTATATCAGAGCCCACTGTGCTGAATACCTCTTTAAAAAGACGAAAGGGGATGCTGTCTGAAGAACAGTTTCTGGGTCGCAGATGCTGAACTACATTGGCCAGTGCGGAGAGGGATACAGGTTCAAACTGATCAAAAACAGCATGTGAAGGAGGAACGGTGACGTCAGAGCTCGGACTTGCAGAAGAGGAGGCAGGAGGCTTAAGAGCAGAGATTTTTTCAATAAAAAATTTAAGGAAATTCTCACAAAGGGTGAGCGAGGGTACAACTGGAGAGTTATCACAAGGGTTAACAAGGGAGTTAAAAATGTTAAAAAGAACTTGGGGCTTGTGATGATTACAAGAGACAAGACTGGAAAAATAATCAATTTTAGCAAATAATTAGGCATCTTTTATAAATGCAAATATTTTTCAAGGGAAAAAAATGATTACATATACTTCTTATTTATGAGAATAATTTAGTTACGTGTAATAATTATTTTTTTCTTCTCCCACCTTCCTGAAGGACCAGAATGCCCACTGCCTAGACTGCCAAGGGCTCATAGCATGACTTGAGAAGCAAGCAGATCTTTCCATTGCTAACCCTCATTCTGAAACTTCTGCTCATGTATATCAGAGATCCACTCCAACATTAACCACAACTGAAAATGCCTCCTCTAAGCATGTTTCTTTTTCTGTTTCATAGCATGGTGTTTTTTTTCCAAGTGTCAAGTTAATTAACTTGTAAATAACATACCATGTTACTGTTATTGAATGTCATCGTCATCATCATCATCACCATTATTATTATTGTGCTGTTTTACACAAACTGTCATTAAAAACACCCACTTGTTGTACACCAGTTTTGTTTGTTCATAGAAAAAAGAAGCAAAGAAACACTTTTGAAAGATTTAATTAAAACACACCATGAAAACTAAAACAAATACAATGAAGAAAATGTAGAAATATTGATTTATAACTATTTACAGTAAACACAATATATAAATACTTTAATAAACAATATTTTAAACTATTTACAATACACTTATTATAACTTAACTATTTACAAGACATTTTAAATTATTTAGGGAACATCTTCCTCATTTCCACCAACCATTGTTCTTTTGGAAGACTTTCTGACTGAGGACAATATACTCTGCCACAGTACTAGCTGTGTCCAGTGTCAGCAGTGCGGAACTGGCCACACTTTTTACTCGTATTTGCCTCGACAGTCCGCCTATACGGCCTCTTTGAGATGGCTCCAGCTTCCACTGTGGTGGCAGGAGCACTGGTTGGTGGGTTGGTGCCCTGAACTAAGGGGACTACTGGGACTACTGGAGTCGCTGTGGCAAACAACTGCCTCTTCACTTGCCCCTTTGGCATGATGCGACGTGGGAGCTGTCTAGAGGCTGTCTGCCTCTGTTGTGCCTGACCTGCTGTACTCTCCGGCAGCTGGTACTGATGCTCCTGTCGAGCTGGCATGGGGGCAACAGGGAGTACTCTTGCCTCCTGAAGAGGCTCTTCAGAGTCAGGGAGGGCTGGAGGCAATGCAGTGCCCTGGAGCAGCACAGACAGCTCCTGCCTCTTCTGCCTGTTGTTGTGCCACTGGACGAGGGTGTTCTGGTTCACTTCCACCAGCTGAATCTCTGTTCCCTGCATCACCCGGGAGTTACCAACTACAAGCTGCCTAATCTTACGATAGTCCCTCAGAATTAAGGACCACCTTGAAATGGCCCCCTTACCTTTCCTTACTGGGCTTGGGTGAAGATTGCAGAGTCTAATGCAAATGTCTTCCACCAGCCCGACAGCAGTCAGGCCACTGGGCAGGTGCACTACTCGCACCTAACAAGCAACAGGTGGTGCTCTCCACACCAGGAGTTTTTGAGGGCTTCTTTGGTGTTCTGAACCGTCCACTCAAAAGTCTCTCCTGATGTCGCGCTGCATAAACCACCTGCTGCTTGTCACCTTCATCCAGGCTCTCCCACAGGGCTATAATTGTGCTGGCTTGCTGGTTGCTGAGACAGAGAGAGGTCTGATCCCGAAGCTCCACCAAGTACTCAGCAAGTCTGTCCACGTGCTGGTATCCAGGGACATTTTGGTCATCAACAGCCTATGCAAATGATTAAACAGTTTAGAAAATAGCAATGTAAAACCTTGACCTTTAATGACACTTTATTGATGCTGTGGATTTAATAAAATATGTGGGCATATGCAGTCAAAAAATAGTGAAGAGCTGGGCTCATATCTATATACCTACATATTCTAATTTGATCACACTGACACTTACCATATCCTCATCTTCAGCTTGAATAGCAACTCCAACTCCAATGCCAGGAGCCAGGGTGGATGTGCTGGGAGCCAGGGTGGATGAGCCCGGAGCCAGGGTGGATGAGCCGGGAGCCAGGGTGGATGAGCCGGGAGCCAGGGTGGATCTGCCGGGAGCCAGGGTGGATGTGCCGGGAGCCAGGGTGGATCTCCCGGGAGCCAGGGTGGATGTGCCGGGAGCCAAGGTGGATCTGCCGGGAGCCAGGGTGGATGAGCCGGGAGCCAGGGTGGATCTGCCGGGAGCCAGGGTGGCTGGAGCCTGAAGGACTTCCAGGTCCAGCACTGTGGGGTCGCATGTGATGTCCGCGAAACCCTCATCTTCCTCCACGTCGTCC